CTTGTTTTGGACAAATCCTTCTATCATAAATTTAATCATTCAACTTGCAAATACAGTTTCAACCAAGTTACTTTACTCAAATCTTTTTTTTTTTATCGAAACCAGAAATTATCTGTAAACAATAGATAGAAGAAGCCCAAAACCATAAAACTGGTATGGATTTTGATTTGTACAGAAATTAAAGTATTCTTTACTCAAAAATTCATTCAATGTTGTATAGCAAATACTAATTTGAGTCGTATCTCCAAAACTCTGACGATAGAATCACATCCCAAATAAATCACGAAAATATTCAGCTCAGATTGAACAAGAACAAGACAGAAATAGAAGATTACAAGCAACTTGCAAGCATGGACAAGTCGCAATCTTTAAGACTTAAGAAGCAACTTATAATCAATGGGATTTTGAAACGAGCTGGAATTGGGTTTCAATCGTGATACTATCACTGACTATGAAACCCTTGGTAGAATTGTAGAGGCAGTCTGTCACATACAAGCAAGTGTATGGACAAGTAGTATCCTATCAGCGCCACTGAAATTTGCCTACAAAAACTCTTAGTAAAAAACTTGCTCTCAAACCATTCATAAATGATTTGTTGCTCATTGAAAGTAGAGAAGAACACATGCTTGCGGCTCAGAGATATTCGATGTAAAAGTATACTTTTCATCATTGTCAAAAAAGGAGAGGTTCAACAAATTACCCTCAGCTCTAAATTTGCACTTGTCTCCCACATGATAGCCTTTCAAAAATGTGGATAGCGGCATCAATTTACCAATTCTCCATTCTGTTTTAGTTGTATCGAATGTCTGCACTGCCGTTTCCGCACATGCACATTTCACCATGAATCAATCCAAGTAAAATGGAAAAAAAAAAACTGTGAGCTTTGCTCCCTCCACCACCAAATACTTGTTTATGGTATTCATCTGCAAGAAGAATCTGATTATGGCGTGAATCTCTGAGCTTTGTTGTAAGCCATTTGGGTTGTTTAGTTTCATATAGAGACATATATGATCTGCTCCATTGTCTCTAGTGTTACCACTGGGTACGGTACACTATGAGTATATTGTTCACTAAAGGGACACCAATGAGCAACCAATATCATACCCAATAATAATTGGTTATTTTGAGAATGTTTCAAGAATAAAACCAAATAGTATTTATAGTTTCGCTTCAGCCTGTGAAGCTCAAATGCATAAAGCTCAAAAGAAACTAAAGTATTCTGAATTTAAACCCTCAGCTGTATATTAAAAATCACCAAACTATCATGCAAATGTTGAACGAGTAATAGCATAAACTAATTTGAGTCGTACTGGAGATGGATTAGAATACGCAAGCATAATTTGTTATTTTTTGCGAATGTTTCAACAATAAAACCCTAAGTAGTAATTATAATTTCGCTTTGTAAGATAAAAGTATAAAACTAGAGAAAGCATCCCATTTTTATTGCAGTTCCAAAGAGATAATTATTCAAATCCTCACTCGCTCACAACTTAAAAAAAAAAAAAAAAACATGACAAACTCTCGCTCTTACGTAAAATGAGATTACAATAAAACACTCGTAAGAGTTTCAACCCTTCACTCAGTTGCTAGACTGGCGCAGCTCTGGTCGGACAAAGTCTGCGTCCTCAGGCACAGAGATATCGACGGTAGGCCTGAGCTGTGCGCAGACCTCGATAGCACCATGGACAGGGTCAGAGAAGAAGTTGCTGATCAGGTCTCTGTTGATTGCTGCACCGTTGTCCACAGCCACCAGAGCTTGTTGGGTCAGGTTGTAGTCGAACCGCGGTGCCCATTTCCTTGATCCCAATCTTGCTGTGGTCGAGCAGTTGTCCACCATGAAGGACACACCTCTAGCGTGCATGAACGGGTTTAGGGAGTCCACAGATTCAATCACGCTCTCGTTGATGATCTCCGAGTAAGAGTGACCCTTCTTCCTCAAGATCTCGATCTACATAACCCCACAGAAACCAAGAATTAGGATCCAAGAAACCAAGAGTAAACCACATGATCTCAACTTAAAGACGCACCTGAGCCATCATAAGTGCAACGTAGACTCCAGCGGTGAAGGGGTACAAGGGACCCAAGTCACCAGCTGGTCTTGTCTTCCTGACGCGTTCACCAACCTTCCACATCCTTGTCTGATCAATCTTTCCCATTGGGAATGAAGGCAAACCTTCCTTATCCTGTTACAAGCAAGAAAATCAATCAAAATGCTTGCACAACAAAACTATGTTGTTTCGGGTAAATGCAAAGAAAGATAAGAATTTGAGAGAGGAGTCATTACATAGAAACGACGACCGGCTAAGACAACACTCCGGATTTCGCTGCCAGCTGCTACATCCTCGTAACATTCATAGAGGATCTCCATACAAGGATAGAAGGATGCACTGTATGCAGTCTCGAATTCCTTTTTACCTTCTTCAGACAAGGAGTTGTACACAGCCAACATTCCCTGAGTTTCAAAATTCATCAGAAACAGGAGGTTACGATTTCCGATTTGGCCAAAAAACGAATAACTCTGGTCTCAACAGATATCTAATCACTAACCTGGGTAGAGATAGTTCTTGAAATGTTTCCTGTGATACACTCTACTGTGTTCTTGTAAGCAAGGTCTTCACTCATCCCATTTTCGGTGTACCTTCTGAACAGAGACTCCACAATTCCGTGAACGGCACCAAGCAAAATACCTATTAACGGAAGGAAGAAGAAGAGATAGGTCATAAGGTGTCGAATCAGGCATGGACAAGACAAGTCTATAGACTAACCTCTTTCTCCAAAGATGTCACTCTTGTACTCTTGCTCAAGAGTAGTAGCAAAAGTAAAAGGAGAACCAAGTGCTACTGACCATCCCAGAGCAACATCTGCGGCTCTACCGTCAACATCCTACAGCCAGAAACATGATCAGTGATGAGAAACGAATGCAGGAGGTCTAATACCTTCTCACAGCAGAGGCGGATAGAGAGATAGAATACCTGGTGAACTGCAAAACTGGCGTTGATTCCAGCACCGTTGATTTCTTTTCCTTGGACGTAAAGCCTTCTCACAGATGGACCCATTCCCTTAGGGCAAACAGCTACCACGCTGATGTTCTTTGGGAAATCAAGTCCCATGGACTGTAAATGCCCTAGAAGGAACCCATGTGACAAACCAAGAATGCTGTTTGGCTTCATGTGAGAGAATATTTTCTCATAGTTATCAGCCTGGAAATACAGGATTCATTAAAAATCAAGCTATATACCTAAGGAGCAAAATCTCAAGATAATTGAAGATTCAGAAATGTTCTTACCTGAGCAGCGTCAGAGATCAAAAGCAATACAAGATCGCTGCCAGAGATAGTTTCGTATATATCACCCAAAGTACCAGCTTCTTCGGTGAATCCAACAGCACGTGCCTCCTCAAATGATTTAGACCCCTTTCTAAGCCCAATCTACATTTCCATAGATAAAAAAACAAAAACAAAACCAAGTCAGGACACAGCCGTAAAGTAACGGCAGAAAAGCAAAGATAAAGCTAATAAATAAAAATATGAAGCCAACACATCAGTTGAGATTACCTTGACAACAATGTCAGACTTCGCCTCCACAAGTGAATCCCTTAAATTCTGAGCTTGAGCAGGTCCCTGCACATGGATATTGAATTTAGCACAATAAATGCAGAAGAGAAAGAGCATTCCATTCAACTCAGATATATCAAACTGATAACACTTTGTTTTGATCATAGCCAATTTCATCTACATGGCGTAATAAAGATTCTATCTCCACAATCCAACGTAAGGACCCAAAAAAGAAGCACGTTGATTACGTTTACTATTTTTTTAATCAATCAGCTAAAAATGGTGTTCAAGCTCAGAAATTTTTTAGTCCACATACAAATAAGCACAAAAAAAACAAAAGGGACCCAAACAAAAAAAGTACCTGAGATCCCCATCCAATCACACCAATCTGCTTAACCCCCTTGAAAGCATCTGGGAGATGCTTGAACAAATCCCTTCCTCCTCTCACAATGTACTGAACAAATATTGGCAAAATAACAAACTTTAGCATCAACAATCACACAAAAACATCAGCCACAAACTAATAACCCCCAAAATACGAAACTTTAGAGAGCCACCACAAATCCAATCGTAACTGAATTGAAAAGAAAAGAGAGTGATGAAAGCAAACCTCATCGTATCCAGCAAGAGAGACTTTCTCCTTTTTGAAGACAGTTGTCTCGAAATCGAGAGAAACAGGGGTTCTGACCGCAGACGACGCGACCATTCGTGCGGCGAGGGAAGATCCGGTGGCGGAACCGACACCATTTCCAGCGACGGTGGCGGCCAGGGACCTCAGAGACTTGGAGGAAGACGAGAGGAATCCGATCTTGGGAAGAGCCAAGCTCCTGGCTTTCGAGGACCGAAGGGTTTTGGATGAAGAAGAAGCAGACGGGCATGAGAGGGAAGGTGCAATGGATGAAGTCGCAGCCGCCATTTTGTCTCAGTGAAGCAGAGAGAAAGAGCTAAAATCTCAAATTAGGGTCACACAGTCAGTGAGAAGAGAAATTATTTAAGCACACGCAGCTTTTTACCTACTCAACAACACCAAGAGGCAGATATTATTTAAATATAAACAATGAAAATATCCACTATCACAATGGGCCAAACCCATTATTTAAGGCCCATAAAGGCTAAACGTGGCGGCCTTTCATTGGTTGTTCATCAAACTGGTTTCAGCGGCGGACGATACACACGTGTTTTAGTCTTAAAAGTCAACATAAGGTACGGTTTAGATTTAAAGTAATTAATCAGATCGGATGGTTTTGAGGTAAGCTGGAGATCGAAGTAACACTACACCAAACGCGAAACCCCTGCGTTTCTTCGTCTTCGCGACTCGTGCGTGTGGCTCGTGAGATTCGTAATTACAGTACGTCAAAGACTTAACATTGAAGATTTGATTTTGCGAGGTGTTTTATCGATAAGTCATCTGGGTTTTTCTCCAAGTAGATTCTTTTGTTTCTGAGAGATGGATCAAGCTTCGTCTTCGTCAAGTATTGAGGAAAACACGAAATCTTCCACTGATCCTGTGAGCGTCGATGATAACGAGGAGAGAGAAGCTATAGAGATTGCTCTCTTCCAAGTGCCTGAATGCTATGTTTATTTGGTAAATGTCTTAACTTTGATTAGGTTATACTGAGATGGGTTTTTCGAATTTGTGCTGAATCATGCGTCAAGCTCCTGCCTTTTTTTTTTTAGTTCACTCGGTGATTTCGGATCTGATCATAATTCATAAGTTAGTTGATCAAATCAAATCTGGTGTTATAGTTTTCTTGCAGCCGTATTGAGTAAACTTTATCTTCATCTGTGTTTGTCGTAGTTCATGTATTGATCACCCAATTTTTTGTCTGAATGCCAGACTTGTGATTTCGTGATGGGGTCTTTGTAATTGTCACATGATTGCATGTTCATTCTGGTACAGTTTGAGATTCCATATTGGTTGCCTTAAACTCATAGACATTGTAAAGTGATGTCATTTTGATTTTAACTAGAAAAATTTCCCAAAAGATAATAGACAACATTGGAGATTGATGGACTCGATTCATTTTGAACCATATCCTAATGTTTATGCTTTTTCCTGTGTATGCAGATACCTCCAAGGAAAAGCGCAGCTTCCTACAGGTTCTTTCTTGCCTTCATAACAGAAATATTCTAAATCATTCTGATTTGTAATCGGGAGTTTTTACTGATAAACTCTTTGGCCTAGCCAATGATCAATAACTCGGAACAAACCTTACTGAACCAGTTCTTGAAGTTTGTAGTAATGGTTACTTAACCTGAATTTGTATCGAGATAGTCATTCTTCTAACTACATTCTCTTTTGATAAACTCAATTTTGGCTGATACTTGAATAGTTTATCCAGTAATACATTGGAATATGGAGATGAAAAACATTAGCTGATTCTTTGTATACAATTGATCCTTGCAGAGCAGATGAGTGGGACGTGAACAAATGGGCATGGGAAGGAGCACTGAAAGTGGTGAGCAAAGGAGAAGAGTGCATTATTAAACTTGTAGATAAAACCACAGGGGAACTTTATGCTCAGGCTTTTCTGCGAGACGGTGAACCTCATCCAGTAGAAGCCGTAATCGACAGTAGCAGGTAACAAAACGGTACAACTTAACTTGCTCTTCTCATAATGTGAAACTACTCTAACAAAGAAGCTCTGTTTTTGTCTTGTAGATATTTTGTTCTCCGTGTTGAAGAAAAGATAGGTACTTACTGACTTACCATATAAGATATACCAGAGATGTAAACTTGTAGTAGTTGTTTTGAGCATACACTCCTTTGAAGCATTGCAGGTGGTCGTGTGCGGCATGCTTTTCTTGGACTCGGATTCCGGGAAAGAACTGAGGCATATGATTTCCAAGCAGCACTACATGATCATATGAAGTAACATTCCACTCCCAAATCTACAAGCTTTCTCTTTATTCAGCACTTCTTCAAAACAACTAAATCATCTCTGAATGTTGTCTCTCACTCTTTGCCAAAGGTACTTGAATAAGAAGAAAACAGCGGAAGAAATGGAACAGCACTATCAGAACACCTCGTCAGTCGATTACAGCTTAAAGGAAGGGGAAACCATTGTTCTCCAACTCAAAAATGTAAGAAATACAGTTATTTTGTAGATTCATATTCCGCAAGTTTCTTACCTTTCACATCAAAATGATTGCAACAGAGAAGCGACAAAGACACAAAGTCGAAAGTGGTAGAGAAGACTCTGGGCAATCTCTCTTTGGAGGATAAGGGCAAGTCGATAGAAGGACTTGTTCCTTCAATCATCCCGCCACCTCCACCTCCTGGACCACTTTCTCCTGTCACAACCGCTCAGAAGTCCCCATCAAGTCTGCCACCAAGCCTCAGCCTCCAAGGATCGCCTGAGCAACAAAAAGTAGATACAAAGCCAGAAGTAGAGAAGAAAGCAGACCAAGAAGCCACAGACGTTGAAGATGCACCAGATGATGACTTTGGAGATTTCCAAGCTGCGGGTTAATTTAACCAGAAAAATCTTTTTACCATACAACAAAGCATCGTTTTATAAGTAATGTGACTGATCAAAGTTTGGGTTTATTGCTACTAAGAGAGCTCATCTTCTGTACAATTGCAAAGTTCAAAACTATTTCTCTAAACTTGTGATAAAAGTTTTTTCCGTTTCACCATACAAAAATCATGAACATTGCAGGAGAAACAACGGGAAAGAAATAAACACGATCAAAATTCACACTTCCTCTTGCAATTTTACTCTCTTTAACTACTGGACAGAGGCGAAACTGAGAGTGCTTTTCTGTTCTTCTGCAAATTTGTTGCCATCAAGAAAAGTACGCCATACAGTGTCGTCTGGAGGGAAAGGCATTCCACAAATCAGTTGCTCAGCTTCCTTGAAGAAACCGTTTCTGGCCAAAAGATCAACGGCACAGCGATAATGAATCATTTCTGGTTCAACTCCATAATCTTTCATTTCCAGAAACAACTCCATTCCTTCTTTTACCATGCCACCATGTCTGCAAGCAGTTAGTATAGAGATGAAAGAAACATTGTCTGGCTTAAAACCCAGAGTTAGCATTTCCTGAAACTTTTCATGTGCCTCATGTCCATATCCATGGATGCCAAGGGACGAAATCAGTGCCGTCCATGTAATGAGATTCTTCTCTCTTGTTTCTTCAAATACTTTGAACACACTCCCAATGCTTCCGCATTTCCCATACATGTCAATCAAGACGTTGCAAACAAATGTGTCGGCGCTGCTGAAATCTCTTTTGGTGATTACACCGTGAATAGAACTTCCAAGCGTAAAGTCGCAAGACTTAGAGCACACGCTTAAGATACTAACGTATGTATAGTTATCAGGGCGGATGTTTGATTGAAGCATGTGTTTGAAAAGCTCGATAACCTCTCCGTGGCTATCAGAACGAGAAAAAGCCGCAATTGCAATGTTCCAAGATACAGTGTCGGGTTGTTCTTGTGTCGAAATCAGCTCCACAGATTCATGGTATAGGCCCCTTCTGCTATATATTCCAGCGGCAATGTTCAATGGTACCACAGAAGATGGCTCGCTTGACCAGTCCAGCAGAAGAAGAACATTATCCACCAGCTGATTCTTGGCGTATGATCTCATAAGAGAGCTTAGCACATAGTCATTATCTTCATAGCCCATCCTCACAATAACAGAATGCAGCTGTTGTAACTCTATGGCACAACAAGGTTTGAGGGCGGTCGAAAGAGTATATTCAGTTGGCCTGAAACCCATTTGAAACATTTGAAGAAACAAAGAGAGACAAACGGGATCATCTCTATTGGCATAACCCCAAAGCAGTGCATTCCAACAAACAATGTTCTTATCACGTATCGAATCGAAGCATAGACGGGAATCTTCCAGACGACCACACTTTGCATAAAAGTCAATCAAAGCATTCCCCAAAAACAAGTCAGTTTCGCAGCCATACTTGATAAGCGTGCCGTGAATTTGGCATCCGAAACTCAACATCTGCATCTGTGAAGAGGTACCAAGAACAGTAACGTATGTGCCCTGGTTCGGGGAAACCCCATGCTCTGTCATGCTTAGAAAGAGTTTCAGTGCTCTCAAAGGGTTTTCACTTTTGGCTGTTGCACCAATCACGGCGTTCCACGACACAATGTCACAAGAAGCTGCCTCTTCAAACACTCTCTCTGCCATATTTATCTTACCACATTTTCCATACGCACTGATGAGAGAGTTAGCAATGAAACCTTCACAATCCAACCCTTTCTTCATTGCTGAGCAATGCACCTGTTTGCAAATTTCCAAGTCACTTTCACAAGATACACTAGAGAATACACCCAAGAAAGAGCATTCAGATAAACAAGCCCCCATCCAAACAAGCTCACGGAAGAGAAAGAAGCATTCTTTGAGAAAACCACGCTCACCCAACAAAGACATCATATGGTTCCATGTCACCAAGCTCTTCAAAGGCATATCTTCAAAAACCCGTTCCGCCATTTCCAGTAACCCAAGCCTTCCATACAAACACAACAATTCAGTACCGACGAATGCATCAGCCATAAACAACCCATACTTCAAGCTCAAACCGTGCAACTGAGTCCCAGCACGAACATCCGACGATGCACAGGACAATAAACCACCAACCGTAAACTGATTCGGCAAATATCCAAATTCCCTCATCTCAGAGAAAACTCCAGAAGCTTTCTCCGCATACCCGCATTTGCTAAACCCGCTAATGATCGTGTTAAAGGACGCTCTGTTTCTCTCACGCATTTGATCGAACACCTTGCCTGCACACGAAACATCGCCAAGCTTCGCGTAGAGGCAGATGATGTTGTTGCAGATGTAAACGGGTTGCTGAAGGGTATAGCATAACGTGATGGAGAGCGCGTGGAGAGCTTTGGTTCGTGCAAAGGAAGGAGCTTTTCTGCAGACATTGAGTAAGCTCACTAGACGGGTGTTGTGATTGGCGAGATCTCCGTGGCTTAGGCTCATGCAGGAGGAAAATGAAAACAGAGAACTTCCCAGGTATATAATGCGTATAAATACACTTAGAACGGAGCTTAATCTCAGGCTTTGAAGCAATTTTGGTTCTGCAAATACCACGATGACGATGATCGGAGACGATTTTACGATGACAATCAATGCGAGTAACGACGTACGAGACGCGGGTTTGATTTTAATCGCTAACCGGCTGGTTCGGGCATCAAACCGACCAACATGGTCCGCATTTTCAATAATTTTTGTTTTTCTTTCACATGTCTTAGATCAATATCAAATCAAACCAATGACCAAAATCTATCCAAGTTTTTGCACGTATAGATGATAAATAATTAGTAGGATTCTCAATTATACTAATGTTTGTATTTATTTTATTTATGGAGAATATCCTAAAATGATATTTTCTAAAATTACTATTGTTCTTATCTTTTTTTTTTTTTTGTCAATGTTCTTATCTATTTTTAATTGCCAAATATTTTATTTAGGATTATTTAAAAATTAAATGGATGATGATTATCTTTTCCTTACATAATAGCCAATCAACAAATGACACGTGCATGCTTTTTGTTTTCAGAATATATTTTATAACACAAAGTCTTCAACCATCGTGCAAATCATATGGGAACACAAGAAAATGAGAGTTATCGTATTACCGGTCTCAATGCTACTCGGAAGTCTTTCGACATGCAAACTTCTTCGAGTGCTATGTGAGAGGTAAAAGACTAAAAGGTATATCGTGTTCGTTATATACTAATCAGAACGACTTTAGGCTTGTATTTCATGTTTTTGTATGACAATATATTTTTATCCAAACACTTACATTCGATATTAGATTATTAGCAGTATACGTATACCACTTTATATTTCTAAGTCAAAATCATTTTTTGGGATTATATAAGAGATTTTGACTTTTGATCTCTCTATGAGGAAAATTGCACCTCCGTTTACAGTTTACTGAATGTGTCGTTGAGGCAGTACTCGTTCATTGACTCCTCTCAACGGTTTCGATTTTGTAAGTAATAATTCAGTTGTAGATTATCTATTTTCCGCAAATTGTTTTGTTTTCATATAAGAGAAAAACGAAAAAACGAAAAATTATTTAACTTTCAATCTTTCAGCGCCAAAACCGGATTTTTTTTTAAAATAATTTTATTTACCTGCAAATTGATCAATTTTTATATATTATAAATTCCTGATGAAATGAGATTTTTTTTTTGTTTGGTTTGGTCTAAAAAGGCGAAAAGTGAAAGCTAATATTTTTTTTTGTTTCTCTTTACTATTGATCCCAGTCTTCAACAAATATAAAAGCCAAAACGAAATCATTTGATTGATTTTTTCCATTATCAACGTAAAAATCGATCCTTGAACTTTTCTCAAAGATCCACCTCCACATCTCTGTTCTAACAATTTAAGATTTTCCCCAGATTCATTTGCCTCTTTTCGATTTTTCATTCGTTCGGGATCCAAATTGGTTTACTACTATAATTTTTTTTTTCTTTCTTCGTGGAGCCAATATCTAGGGTTTCGTGGAGTCTTTTGTCGAAGCTCTGACGGGTTTTTAGGTGAAGTAAATGGTGGATCAGCCTGCCGTCGAGTCTATTTCTTTAGGGTTTCTACGAGAATACACCGCTAATCAAAGTCTTCGCTCGATTCTGTGCTTCGATAGTGTTCCAGTGCTGCGACAATCACCAGGTGCGACGGAACAGCAATGCTGAGCGTGATCCGAGTGCATCTACCTTCCGAAATTCCAATTGTGGGCTGCGAATTAACCCCTTACGTCCTTGTTCGCCGCCCGGATAAGACCGCCGCCACTGACGATGTCCCGGAATCTGCTCCTCTCGAAGGCTACTTCTTGAGATACAGATGGTAAATTTCACTCCTAATCTCCGATTTCAATGCGAAGGATTGGCTCTTTGTCTGATTTCTTGTGCTCCGATCCTTTGGCGAATTGGGGTTTAATCAAAGTTTGAAATTTGATCCGAATCCAAGATTTTTCTCATGTAGACTTTCTGATTTAAGTCGTGAAAAGTTTTGATATTTGGCTTGCGACTGTTAATTCATTCTCTCGATTTCATTTTTCCTTCCTGTGTGTAGGTTTCGTGTACAGAGCGATAAGAAAGTAACCATTTGCAGTGTGCACCCAACGGAACAAGCCACTTTGCAATGTGTATTCTGTTCAAAGCGTAGAGCCCTTGTTCCCAAAAGCTACCACTGTTCGCCAAAATGCTTTACAGACGCGTGGCAGCATCACAGGACTCTGCACGAGCGAGCAGCTGCGGAAAACGGGAACGACGACGACGAGGTAGTCCGCTTCAACAGTGGAGTTCTCGCTGGTAGCTTGTCAAATCTTAATCTTCCCAATAATGGCCCCACGCCGTTTTATCCGCAGAAAAATGGAGGAGAGACGCTAGTGGAGGTCGGGGTTTGCAAAACATACACGCCAGCAGCTGACGACATTGGCTACGTTTTGAAGTTCGAGTGTGTTGTGGCCAACGCAGAGACTAAACAGACTTTGGGACACCCAAGTACCATTTTGACTTCACGGGTTATTCCTGCTCCTTCTCCAAGTCCTCGTAGGCTTATCCCTGTCAATGGAGCTGATGTGATGGGTCATATAGATCAGGATGGTCGTATTCAGTCTGCAGGATCATTCACTGTTCTTTCATATAATATTTTGTCTGATACTTCTGCGAGTAGCGACCTATACAGTTACTGTCCTCCTTGGGCTCTTTCTTGGCCATACCGCAGACAGAATTTGTTGAGAGAGATTGTTGGTTATCGGGCTGATGTAGTTTGCCTACAAGAGGTATGGTTTTTGTATGGACTTGGTTAAGATTTCGTTTCAGATCAGAAGGATAACAGTTTAAAGATTATAAACTTGCTTCTCTCTTTATCTGGCAGGTACAAAGCGACCATTTCCATGAACTTTTCGCTTCTGAGCTGGATAAGCATGGGTATCAAGCTCTATACAAGAGGAAGACTAATGAGGTTGGGTCATTGATTCCACTCAACTCTTTCCTTTAGTGATTTATGTTGCTAAGGCTTGTTAACCATAACTTGCTCGTTTCTAGGTTCTCAGCGGGAGTACAAGTGCGATTGACGGCTGTGCAACTTTTTTCAGACGGGATAGATTTAGCCATGTCAAGAAATATGATGTTCGTATCTGTTCTATATGCTTTCTTGCTTCTATCTATATAGATCCTCATACTAATTGATTGGACTCTTAATTCAGGTTGAGTTCAATAAGGCTGCTCAGTCTTTGACTGATGCTATAATCCCTCCTGCGCAGAAGAGAGCTGCTTTAAACCGACTAGTTAAGGTATTTTTTGACATGCTATACATTTTTCTGGTCACAGCTAATAATTAGAGAGTTACTGTTTAAATCACTGATTTTGGTGATTGTTATGTTGTAGGATAATATTGCACTGATAGTTGTTCTTGAAGCGAAATTTGGTAATCAACCTGCTGATCCTACTGCGAAGCGCCAGCTTATTTGTGTGGTATAGTTTCCTTTCTGTTCCCACTAAATTGTTTGTTGAGAAGATTGTTCTCATAGAGATTTTGTTATTGCGTGAAAGCTGGCTAATTTTCTCATTTTGTTGCTGTAACTTGCTGGAGTTTAGGCTAACACACATGTTAATGTTCAACCAGAACATAAGGACGTGAAGCTCTGGCAGGTTCGTTTATCTCTCTATATCCTAAAGAACTCAAATTTCATGAAACTCGAGAGAAGTTAGTCTCCAGCTGAGTATTTGTTTTGTTCTTTTGAGTTTAGGTTCATACCTTATTAAAGGGGCTGGAGAAGATAGCTGCTAGTGCTGATATTCCTATGCTTGTGTGTGGAGACTTCAATACGCTTCCTGGGAGGTTTGTTGTTTCATTTCTTCTTCTGATATGATATAGCAAACGCTGATCACTGGTGTACAAAGCTAAAGATCTTCTGTTTTTGGAATTGTTGTTACAGTCTTCCTCATTCACTTCTTGTAATGGGAAAGATTGATCACTCACACCCTGATCTGAATGTTGATCCCATTGGAATCCTGCGCCCTCATACCAAATTGACTCATCAATTGCCGCTGGTGATAATTTCTTCCTTTGAGAAGAGTAAATTTATAACCTTTTCTTGGACTCTCTTGTGGATCTTTGATAAGATGATTTGTGGTTTCAGGTGAGTGCGTACTCATCGTTTGTGAGACCGCCAATGGGTGTTGGATTGGAACAACACAGAAGGAGAATGGATCTTAATACAAACGAGCCTTTGTTTACCAATTGTACAAGGGACTTCATTGGCACTCATGACTACATATTCTACACAGGTTTCACCATTTATTTAACTCCCTTGTCATTGTTTTCTTTCAACTAAAATCAGAAATAACATTTTGTTTTTGTTTTCAGCGGATACACTAACGGTTGAATCTCTACTGGAGTTGCTGGATGAAGAAGGACTGAGAAAAGATACAGCTCTTCCTTCCCCAGAATGGTCTTCTAATCACATTGCACTCTTAGCTGAATTTCGATGCGTGTCTAGGCCCAGACGCTAACCCCGCCTTCCACCACCGCGATCGCTTACAGAATAGGGTTTTTGTTTCTGGATTTTTTTTTTTCATCAGAGTATGACAACAACTCTTTAGACAAAACCTCACCAAAAATCTGTGATAGAGGTGACACAAAAGTCGAAAGTGGTTCTGATCCAAAGCAAGGCAGATCACGATTACTTTCTCAAGTTGGTCATTCTTTATAATGACCTCTGTGTGGCTTTGTCTAACCTTTTTTTCTCTTCTCATTTTGATCCTCAATTTAGTAAAGAAAGAAAGAACCCTTGTTGATTCTTCATTTTCGTTCCATTTTAATAAAGAGTAAATGGTTCTAGATCAGTTTTGTGTTTTATATCCTCATGCAAATAAATAGTCGAACTAGGAGTTTGTTTCTTCTTCTTTTTCACAGTGAGCAAGTGAAGATTCGTGTCTACATAACCATTTAAAGAGTAAGCATGCACATCGATGCTCTCTATGAGTAAACAATAGAGAAAAGTAAGAGGGAACATAATCGACTCTTAGAAGAATTAAAGCAAAAAGCTTAGTCCCAAGCACTCGCCACTCCAGGGCCGTATCCTTGGTTCGGAACGGTTCCATATCCTCCACCGTAGTAAGCACCCCCACCTCTACCATAAGGTACGTAACCACCACCAGGGACGGGTCCATATCCACCCACTGGTACGGGTCCATACCCACCAGGCATTGCTCCATAGCCACCACCGGGAACGGCTCCATACCCGCCACCGCCATAGTAGTCATTGCCGCCTCTGCCACCTCCGCCATAGGAGCCTTCTCTCCTGAAATCACGGCCACCAAACCTACCACCAGACCGCCGGTTCTTACCACCTCCAAATGAAGCACGAGATGCGTATCGAGTCAGCCAGTCAGGGACCTCCTGGTTTGCTTCTTGCATTAGCTCAGCGAGTGGCTTGGCCATTGAGGTGTTGTTGTCATTGAAGAAAGCAGTGGCTAGTCCTGAATTGCCTGCACGTCCTGTTCGTCCGATACGGTGGACATAGTCGTCAATGTCGTTTGGTAGATCAAAGTTCACTACATGAGCCACGTGTGGAATGTCAAGACCACGTGCTGCCACATCGGTTGCAACCAATATAGGTGTCCGCCCAGTCTTGAATGATCTCAGTGCCACTTCTCTTTCCTTGTATGCATAACAACACAATACGTATAAGGTTTGATTGCACTGAGCTATAATATACGAATCCTCTCTCTTTTTTATGTCAACAATTCACTAACCTGTTGTGACCTATCACCGTGAATGGTGGTTGCAGGGAATCCATTCATGCACAACCAGTTCTCCAAATTGTCAGCTCCCTTCTTTGTCTCCACAAAAACTAGAGTCAAAGCTTGCTGTAAAATAAAATCAATACGGTCGTCAAGGTACTCCTAAACAGCAATGCATCATATAGAACAAAGAGACGGTGAAACAGCACTAGTCAACATGTTCACTTTTAACCAAGAAACTAATCACGATGGTAGGCGTTACCTTTCCTTGGTTACCATTCTCCCTCTGAGCATGAAGAAGGTCCATCAGATGGCTTCTTTTGTCAGCATCGAGAACAAACTCTACTCTTTGGGCAATTAAATCCGTACTTGAACCCACTCTCCCAACAGCCAGAAATATGTAATTTGAAAGAAAATCAGATGCAAGTCTCTGCACACAAAATCAGATAACAATTAGGTCCATATGGAGCTGAAAAAGAATAACTTCCTTCACAGGACGTGACTTCTATCTTGCGAGTTAGTACATGACATGTGAAAGAGTTCCACAAACCTGTATCTCCCTAGGAAATGTAGCACTGAACAACATTGTCTGACGGACACCAGGAGGAGGCATGTCCATCTGCTGAACGATCTTCCTGATTTGTGGTTCAAAACCCATGTCGAGCATCCTGTCCGCCTCATCGAGGGCTAAGAACTTTACCATCTGCAACGAGACTCTACCTCTCTCAAGCAAATCGTTCAATCTCCCAGGAGTTGCAACAAGAATATCAACTCCTCTTTCAAGCTCCCTAATCTGTGAAACAGCAAAACAAGAACAAATTAGCAAGAGCACCAGGCTTACTATCATGAAATGTAGCTGATTCCTGCAGCTTTTCATTTGAAGAATACAAGATAACTATCATACACCCACGTATACAAGAGGAATTCTGGTATATTACAGAGCAAAGAACAGCCAGGACATATCATCAATCAAACTAAGAGTGTATGAGACATGGAAACACACACAAAATCTCTATTTCTCACTCTCTCACACACAAGAGTGTATGAGACATGGAAAATGAAGCAGTAATCAAAAGAACAAAAGAAACCTGTTGGTTGACTGGTGTTCCTCCATAAGCAACCACAACTTTCACACCAGTTTGATAGGAGAACTTTCTGGCTTCATCATGTATCTGGCAAAAAAATCATAAAAACATTCATATCTTTTTTCATCAAATCTTCAAGTTATCTACAAATGCACATAAAAACTGATATTAGACCAGTGATTCATACCTGGCATGCCAACTCTCTTGTTGGTGAGAGAATCACAGCAAGAGGATACACTCCCCGTACTCCACGTGGCCTCTCTGCATTCTGCTCCTTCATAATCCCACTAATAATCGGAAAACAAAAGGCAGCTGTCTTCCCTGACCCCGTCTGAGCACAAGCCATCAAATCCCTCCCAGCAGCCAATATGGGAATTGCATTACGCTGCACAGGGGTCGGCTTCACGTACTTGCACCTCTGAATGTTCAGATTCAGAGCCTCTCCAAGGTCTATCTCTGCAAATGTGTTCACAGGAGGTGGCACATTATCCCCACTCGTCTCGATTGGAATATCTTCATAGGCCTCAAAGTTGATGACAGTGTTTTCCTGCTCGTTAGCAGCCGCGTCTGCATTCCCATCATTACCATTACCAAACGGGTTGATTTCAGTATCCCTACGGTCCCAACCGCCACCTCCTCTGTTATTCCAGCCGCCACCGCCGCCACCTCCTCTGCCACCACCATAGCCTGAGCCCCGACCACCATAGCCTTGGCCTCGACCACCGTAACCACCATGTGGACCACCATATCCCCCACGATCACCACCAGGTGAAGGAGCAGCAAACTCAGAAGACGGTGCACCACGAGTCCTAAGATGCGGAGGAACATAGTTGCTTCGTGACGGACGAGAGTTCCCGTAAGCCCAACCAGATGGTCCCCTCTCCGATTCAGAAACATGATCAGCCCATGATGAACTCATAGTTGCAAATTGCAATTTCCCAGAACGAACAATTGATTTCGGTTTTCGATTTGGAGTAGATTCACAAAGCCCTGAAACAAGTTCATTTTCCACAAGTAAGATTTAGCTGTGCATGTAGAAATGAAGAAGAGGTCAACAAATGGAACAAATGCGAATCGATTGGAGAGAAACTTTCTCTAGAAGAATCGGAAAAACCTCAGCTAATCGAAGGAGAGAATAATCAAACAATAGAAGGTCGTCACAAACACAACCACGACGAACTAACACGAAGCTGAGTAAAATCATTTCACGAAATCAACAAATGCACAAATCACTAAACCCTAGAAGCAAAATGAAATCGAACAGGAAATCGTTGCGTAGACGGAACAAAACCATGCATAGAGAGATAGAGCACGACCTTAAGAAACTCGAAAGCAAATCTAGATCAAGGATCAATGGTGTACGGAAAAAATCCAGGATATAAACCCTAATTTCTCTTCTTCTCGCGATCGCACACGAAGCAACGAAACAAGGTTTTCTGGGAAATGAGCAAAAGAGGAAGATGAAGAGATATTTGTATTTCGATGAACTTTATTTTTTTTCCAGCTTTCTCGTTTTTTTCAGATTGTTTGCTGTTTTCTAATAACGAACAGCGTGCCGTATCGGCTATACCGAAGTGAACTGTGTGCCGTTAGTAATTTTCATAGCGCGTGATCTAAACGACGCGCACGGATTGGATAGAGACGAATATTTATTGTCGTCTGGACAAAAGTAATTACTGACAAATTTAGGAATTAATTGCCAGAACAGTATTACCAACTTATTTTGAACAATTTTTAATTTATAGTTCTATACGAGTCTATCATTTTATAATTTTCATTGAAAAGAGTATGTGCTATCATTTTCATTTTTTTTGCAAATGATATAAGATTTGAAAAGAAAGAGTAATCTTTATTTCTTTGATATTTATGACACAGTATGTATAGTACATGATGGGTTTGTATATGTGTATATTTTTTATTTTGGTCAGGAATATATGTGTATAAAAAAAATAATTGTAGTCTGCAGCCTTTCGTGTCCTTTTGAAAATAAAAATACGCCGTATTGGTTCGTCCGAAATTTTTTTCATCCTTTTTTTTTTCGTCTGAGAAACAATCGATCCCACTCTTCGATTCAGTTTCTGGGGTTTTTCACAATTTCTAGGTCGTAAACTGGGGTTCGAGAAAATTTCCGGTTTTGAAAAAAAGAAAAAATTGGGCTTAATCTAGGGCTCTGTGAGATAATTAGGGTTCATCAATGCTAGTGGGTTTTAGGGTCAATTAAATGGCGGATCCGCTAGGGATCCGCTTTATCATTTCTGCTCTCCCGCTCAATAGTCAGCTTAAAGTCTCAGCCTTTGGGCATCGTTAGTATTGAATTGCTTCGAGAATCACAGTTAGTTACCGAAAAAGCAATGCTTAGCGTCATTCGAGTGCATCTACCGTCGGAGATTCCTATTGTTGGCTGCGAACTTACGCCTTACGTGCTTCTCCGACGGCCGGATAAGACCGCCACCACCGATGATGTCCCGGAGTCAGCCCCGCTCGAAGGTCACTTCTTAAAGTATAGATGGTAAGTTCCTTCACTCTCTCCTCTTTACTTGCTTTTGCTCGATTTTTAGAAAGTTGATTCATTTCATTAGAAAATGAGATTTATAAGTCTTCTCTCTGTTTTTAGAGTCTGTATTTGAGATGCATCCTCTGTATATCTATTTGCAGGTATCGTGTACAGAGCGATAAGAAAGTTGCGATTTGCAGTGTGCATCCATCTGAGACGGCCACATTGCAGTGCCTGGGGTGTCTAAAGTCAAAGGTTCCTGTCACCAAAAGCTACCACTGCACAACCAAGTGCTTCTCAGACGCGTGGCAGCATCACCGTGTGTTGCACGAGCGTGCAGCCAGTGCCGCTGCAGAAGGAAATGATGAAGAAGAGTTGCTCCGTTTGAATAGTTCAGGCTCTGGATCTGGCGTCTTAAGCACCAGTGGTAGTTTAACGAATGGATCATCATCGGTTTATACCCAAAAGACCGGCGCTGGAGGGGAAACACTTGTTGAGGTTGGACGATCTAAGACATACACACCAATGGCTGACGACGTTGGCCATGTTTTGAAGTTTGAGTGTGTAGTGGTCAATGCAGAGACGAAACAGAATGTGGGCCATTCTTGTACCATACTGACTTCCCGTGTGATTCCAGCTCCGTCACCTTCTCCTCGTAGGATGATCCCTGTTGTTGGTGGAGCTGAAGGTATTGGGCACCTGGATTCTAATGGCCGACCTTTGTCTATGGGATCATTCACTGTGCTGTCCTATAATATATTGGCTGATACGTATGCTAGTAGCGACATATACAGTTATTGCCCCACATGGGCTCTTTCGTGGACATACCGTAGACAGAATTTGTTGAGGGAAATTGTGAAGTACCATGCGGATATAGTTTGTCTACAGGAGGTATGTTATATGTTCTGCAGAAGTCTTGGAAAACAATGCTATTGCTTTTGGTTTGATTATGAACATGTACAGTCGTCCAATGTTTTCCCATTTTTTATCTTCCAGGTGCAGAATGATCATTTTGAGGAGTTTTTTTCTCCTGAGCTGGATAAGCATGGATACCAAGCTCTTTTCAAAAGGAAAACAAATGAGGTTGGTTTGGTCGTATCCCTTTGATCACTTGTAGCCTTTTTCTGGACTTATGTCGCAAAATTGTGCTGACGAGAACATACTGATTCACGTGATGGTCCTAGGTTTTCGTCGGTAATACAAACACAATTGATGGATGTGCTACGTTTTTCAGAAGAGATAGGTTTTCTCATGTTAAAAAATACGAGGTAGGTCTTCGTTCTCCACTCTATTACCAGTAACTATTTAGGGCCTTTTGCTAAATCATCTAGCTGGTCATCCAGGTTGAGTTCAATAAGGCTGCCCAATCTTTGACTGAGGCTCTTATTCCTGTCGCCCAGAAGAAAATTGCTTTGAACCGGTTGGTTAAGGTATTCAAAGATGCTTTACTGTGTGATCCTTGTTTCCACACATTCTCCTTTTCAAAATTACCCTGTAAAACTGATGTAGATTCTTTCTTTTTAGGACAATGTTGCGCTAATTGTTGTCCTGGAAGCGAAATTCGGTAACCAGGCTACTGACATTCCTGGGAAGCGCCAATTACTTTGTGTGGTGAGTTGTCAAAATGAATTCTGTTTTTCCTAAGAGATGGTTCTAGAGATGAATGTTCCTTTTCCACTTTCTCTGCACTTCCTTAAAGGTCTCGTGGTGATCATTTTCTTTCCGCTTTTATTTATTTGATGAATGCAGGCTAACACTCATGTAAGCGTTTCTCATGACCTGAAGGATGTAAAGCTCTGGCAGGTTGATCTTTACTTCTCATTGTAATAAAACTTGCCGATTTAAGATTCTAACGTCACTACTCATCCATATCTGATTCTTGCTCGATATAGGTTCACACTTTGTTGAAGGGACTGGAGAAAATAGCTGCCAGTGCGGATATTCCAATGCTTGTGTGTGGTGATTTCAATACAGTACCAGCGAGGTCTGTCTGGTTTTCCTTTTCCTTTTGTTCACATTGCAGAAATGTCAAAATCTATATCAGATTATGATTCCGGTCTTCTCTAGTCGTATTAACTTATAGTTCCTTCCAAAAAAATTCCAGTTCTCCTCATTCACTTCTTGCTATGGGGAAGCTTGATCCAATGGACCCAGATCTGATGGTTGATCCTTTTGGAATCTTACGTCCTCACACCAAGCTAACTCACCAACTGCCATTGGTATTATCCTTCTCAAAGACTAATAAAAACAGATGCAAAGAATCATGAAAGACAATGCTTACTCATCTTACCTTGTGGGCAATGCAGGTCAGTGCTTACTCATCGTTTGCAAGAAGGGGAGGCAGCCTTATTACCGAGCAGCAGAGGAGAAAACTGGATCCTGCATCAAATGAGCCGTTGTTTACCAACTGTACCAGGGACTTTATAGGCACACTTGATTACATATTTTACACAGGTTTGCTTAGGCACCCAATGCCTGCAACTTTGCAACTCATATTTCTTTTGTTTTTCATCTTGTAAACATTTTGGTTTTCTTCGGTTTCAGCGGATACGCTAACAGTGGAATCGCTATTGGAATTGTTGGATGAAGAAAGCTTGAGGAAGGACACGGCTCTTCCATCTCCAGAGTGGTCTTCTGATCACATTGCACTTATGGCTGAATTCCGCTGCGTGCCCAAGACCAGACGCTGATACTGAAAACTCACAGAGGAAACATATATTATATGGAGATACCACAGCTGTATTCGATTCTTAAAGACTGGTCCCAGTGGAGATTGTTAAGCTACATGTGGTGGATCGCGTGTCAATGGCATCCCAGGGTTTTTTGGCCTTCGTTCTACTTTATATCAAAGTTTTATTTTCCTTTTCACCTCACCGTAAGAAGTATGATCACTTTATGGTATGATGTTTTTCTTTCTTTTTATAGTTGATTCTTCTTCGCCGGTAGATTTTTTTCTTTCCTGGCTTGTCACTGTAACAATGTAAACTTTTAGA